CCATCTGTGAAGTAAGTAAAGCTGTCGGATGCCATGTTTGCTCCTATATGCATCTGTGCAATGTTACGTAGCAGATGAGGATTTGTCTGGTTATTTTTTCCTTCAATAACCATAATCATAAAGTCTGCTGGCAGAGATTTCCAAGGGGCTTGCAAAACAAAGTCTGCATGTATTTCGTCGACACCCTTCTCAGTGATTGTGTTTGTTATATCGAATGTATTGATGGTGTTTATCGCACAATGGGTCCACCTGTTGCTAATGGAGGCTCTTCTGTCCAGAGTTAGTGCTCCAGTGATTATATCTTTAAGTGAACTGATTCTAGGTCTAGTCAATATCTTGGTCAGCATGCACGCAGCAATCCCTTTTACCCTTATTTCAATCGATGTTAGCTTGGTTTCTAGTCTTAGGTTCAGTATTTTAGTCCATCTGGGAGCTCCTGTTATGATTCGCAATGCATCGTTTTGAATAACCTCAACATTTGCCCACTGACCAGGAGAAAGAGTGAGTAAGACAGACGCTGCATAATCAACTAGGGATCGAACGGCGTGTATGTAAAACATTCTTAACACTGTGTCCCGCTCCTTGACGGGGCCCCTGTGATTGCTCTCATTATATTTAGTCGTGATTTTGTTTTCTCCTTTTGATATTGAATTTGCTTGTTGAATGTCATTTTAAAATCTATCCACATTCTGACATATTGATATTGTGTAACCCACTGAAGGTTAATGTCTTGAATGCGTAGGTGCCTGTCTGGAGTGTTGCCGCCTAGTCTCATTGTTTTAGACTTCTGTGCAGATATTTTTAGCCCAAAAACGCTGCATTCAGATGTTACTTTATCTAATGCACCTTGTGCTTTATTTAGAAGTGAAGGACCTGTAATGACTAATGCTATATCATCACCATAGCTTAGCAATTTAATCCCTTCTGTAAATGTCATGGTAACAAGGTTTTCCATAAGGATGTTAAAGAGACTAGGATTGAGGACACCCCTGCTTTTGCGCTACCGCTCACAGGATGAGTATGGGGTGCACAATAAACTAGCCGCCTTCGGCGGCAACAATCAATCCTTGTGGAGTCCCATTCTCATGCAAGTGGTAGTCCGACCCATGTCCTTGCATGTGCATTCTCATGCATGGTAGTCCGACACATGTCTGGCATGCAACCTGTTAATCTTACCTCTCTCTCTCCATCTATCATCATACTATCATGCAAGAGGAGCCACACATCTATGGATCATCCAATAAAATCAACAGACTTCTAGATGTTACTACTGCTCGGCTTAGACTCGGTTACAGGTATCTTTGGGAATTCTCATTATCTACTGATGTAGACCTGACCAAATGTAAACTGTGTCAACAAAATTATTCGCACACCCTCCGTCACTATGTGATGGAGTGCGAAAAGATACGTGAATTTAGAGACAATTCTATAACAAATGTTCCAGCGATGTGTCAATATTTCATGCAAAATGATCTGCTACCAGAAATTTTAGCCAATTATCCCCAGTTTGCTAACTGTAGGTAGTAATTAAGTGATTGTAACCTATTGTATCCACCGCTGCCCACTGGATGGGGGGCGGTATGCAGGACAAACATATAAATTGTGACACTAGCTCTCCACATATGTCAGTTGCTTAATTTAGAAACTGTACTTGTGGTCGATCTCGAACCCATTGTTGATGTGACGACTTATATTGAATTTTGTAACTAGCTCATCAAGATTGTAACTTGCTTAGCTAAATGAATTGTGGGGTTCAGTCCCTGAGCCCATTATGTGCCTCTGTAACCCTTTCCACTATCGCCCACAAGATGGGTATGGGGTGCATAATAAATTAACTAAACTCTCTCGACACCTGTTGTTTCCATGGCAATTTCTGATTGTTTTCCCTTCTGCTGTATTTTTCCATCAAATGTTGAACTATCTCCATCCCTGTTATAACTCCCCATTCCCGGTGTTTTTACTCTGGCATACCTGTGACGTAGGTAATCTTGAATCCATGCTAGCATATTTCCCTTTACACCTTTTTTAACTAAGATGTGTAAAATTGCTTACGGGCATGCTAGTTCGAATGCTTTTTCTAGATCAAGGAAGATCACTATAGCTGGACCTGAGTTAACTGTTCCTAGTAATGTTGCTATGCAGTTGGCAGTACCTACTCCTCTAGTGAAGCCAAATATGTGTTTATGCAGGTCTCCAGTCTTCCACAGTAGCCTATTTATGACCATCCGTTCTGCAGTTTTACTAATGCATGATGTTAATGAAATCACCTAGTTAGCTTTTTTTTTTTTTGACACACTGTACTCCACTTCATATAGTCTAGGGTAGCTGCACTAATGCAGATGTACCTCATGTACTAATAAATTATGAGCCCAGAAACTGAACCCCAAAATTAATTTTTAGCTAACCAAGTTGCAGTCTTCATAGACTATAGTTACACAGTTTAATGTATATCGTTTCATATATTATAATGTGTTCAAGAACCAGACCACAACAGTCTCCAAGTTAAGCAATTAACACGTATGGTGAACTGGTTGCATGTAATTTTATTTGCTTATCGTGCACCATAAACCCAACCAGCGGGCGACGGCGGAAAGTTTATAATCACGGGCATGCTCTGCGTACAATACGCAGACTTGGGATATGGGTGAAAGGGAGAGGTAATTGCTATTATTAATATTAAAAAATTATTTGTATTGTTGGATATAAAGAGATAAGACAGGAAATACCTTCTGCGATCGCCCTAATGTAGTCGTACTAGGCTACAGGGCGTCACTCTGGGTATTCCAAAATTCACAACCCACGAAACATGACGTAGGCAGTCACAATATTTTTAAGTCCTTGTGTATCGTGACATTCCAAGACGAGGACTTCCTAATATTCACAACCCAGCTACGCACCACACCAGGAAAATTTATTGTTTAAGTTCAGTGATATTTACTTTCCTGCTGCGATAAGATCTTGAGAAGGGAAAATCCACCGTCAAAACAAAGGACTTCTACACGGTAATTGTCGATAAAAACCTCAATGTCCGGTAAGACCAAAATTAGTAGCCCGTGACACTTCATTAATATCTGGGATGTAATTACCTAAAGTGTAATTACCTAAGTGTAGTTACAAGACGAGAGCTACGCTCGTGGTGTCCCGTCTTCCCAGTACTCTGTCATATAACGCTTTGAAATTACTGACAGTTTTGATCACCACCTTCTCACCTTACTTGTTCCAACCGTCTACCACTGTTTGCGAAAGTGAATTTTCTTATATTTCTTCGGCAGCTTTGTTTAGTTTGTTTAAATCCATGATCTCTTGTTCTTTAGTAATTCTTCCCTATCCAATTTTATCGATTCCCGTTACTAGTGTGTGTGTGTGTGTGTGTGTGTGTGTGTGTGTGTGTGTGTGTGTGTGTGTGTGTGTGTGTGTTTGTTTTGTTGGAAGGGGGGAAGGTGAGTATTATTCCCCACACGCGCACACTACAATTATGTATAGGATGGCAAAACAGACACGCTTGTTTGAATAACTTTGCAGTAAGCAAATGGTTAATTTTTGTTGTATTCGTGTGTGTTGAGCGTGTATTTAAATAATGTTTGTAGAGTCGTGCAAGCAGTGTGTGCACGTGTATGTGTTGAGAGTTGGATGTTTGTATAAGTGTATATTTTGGGTGTTTTATATCCATATATAACATGTAGGCGCATGTGATAGGTGCATGAATTCCTGGCTGCCAACGGAGTTGAGTTACCAGAGGGGGAAGAGTTACCAGGGGAGAAGAGTAACCAGAGGAGAAGAGTTACCAGGGGAGAAGAGTAACTAGAGGAGAAGAGTAACCAGAGGAGAGTTACATTTTTCAATTACCCCCGACAGTGAAGAAAAACGTAAGAAATATTGAGAAGATTCGTGTTAGAATCATTCATCTTACCCTTTCGGTCATATTCAACAATATTTATATATGGGTACCACCTCTGGTGCAATTGTAGGGACCCATAGCCTCGATGAAGAAAATAAAGAGTGTTCAGAGAAGACCTTGTGGATTCTCACTGAACACTTTAATATTTTTCTCCTACCACCCCTACTTTTTTGGTCCTACCACCCCTATTTATATTTTTATATATAAACTACATATATCTTTGGTTATATTATATATCTATATATATTAAATATATATATTCATAATATATATATTATGAATATATATTCAAAGAACTCTTCCCCGTGAAGGATTCGAACCTTAGATAGCCTGGTGTATCAAACACACTGGCATATCCAGTACGGTAGCCACTTGACAATGCAGACTACAAAAATCATTGGTAGTCTGAGACTATTTCCCCAACGACCCGACAGCACTCGCATGGCAAAATATCACCGATCGTTTTCATCAATTCAGTCACTATTGAGAAAAACGCGAGCCTCAAATATACGACACACTTGCATACTTATAAAGTAGCAATCGATATTTTCAGAGAATTATCGTAGTTTTGGATTAACGTAACTAATGCATCAGAATCAAGGTGATTTTCTGACAAGTATCTATAAGAAGCACGTTTTCTAATTATGTTCACCAAATTTGCAATTAATAACAAAGTAAACAAAAACTTAGCTATTATGTAAATCCCTGAATGCTCAACGGTTTCAACTAATTAGAACGCAATCTATTTTACTGTTACCAAATACGTGTTCGACGTGTCTTCTAGCTAAAACACTAACACTTCCCGCGATGCAAGACCATATTTCCTCTTAAACTGTCTTCAACGCGGTAAAACAAGTATCAACAAATGTTTAACGGCAGTGAGAAGCCGAAAGGAGCGCCCTTCGTCGAAATATCACAACACAGGCTTGCTAGTGTGTATGGTTGCATCCCGCGATAGCAAATAATAAAACCCAAATAATAATTAGGGTACATACCCAAATCTGGTTGATAATATACCACCACACCGCCTGCTATTACTTAGTGATGAGACAAGAGTGTACTCTTTTTTGTTGTTATTGTTCATACTGGTATTTTGTCTCAGATGGGAAGCTGTCTTGGATCCTCTGGCAAGGCGGACCTGCCTCACGACCAAAGGCAAGTTGTTATCTTCATGTTTCGGCCTCTTAACAAGACACTAGCTTACCTAACGACAAGTGGGGAAGTTTTATCTTAACTTCTGTTCTGGCATGATGCATAACAATGTAAGCAAGCTTTGTACTAAGTGTAGTGAATGATTCAGTGGGTTATTGGTCCTCTGGCTCCAGCTTGGCGAATGTTACAGTGTACCCAAAATTTGCCAGTGCAGGTTACTAAACACATGGCCCTGTGTGACTAACCATCCTGCGAGATGGGGATTTTTATTACCACTGCTACCTTATTCACTCTTGTGTTGATGATATCCTGAAAATGCATCCGGAGTCTGCCAGTGCAGACTGCTTATCACATGCCTCTGTATGACTAACCATCCTGTGTGATGGGGATTTTTTAGCATCACGTAGTTAGCTTTTTTTGACACACTGTACTCCACTTCATATAGTCTAGGGTAGCTGCACAAATGCAGATGTACCTCATGTATTAATAAAAAAAAATGGCGAATGACATCATCCAGTTTTTTACGGATGATGCGTCGTATAGACAACTCAACAGTGGCAAATTATAATTTAAATAACTGCTTTCATTGCACACCGTTAATAAGTAACAGCATGGCAGGGAGGCTTTACCCTTGTTTCAAGAGCAACACTGGATTTTACAATACTCGCCTAAGTGTTTACTATAACAATAGCATCACTGTGTTTAACACTCAAAAAGGCATCCACCATAAAGTTGACTATATTGAATAGTAATAAAGGAGTCACTTTCACTGTCACTTAACTGCTTACATCATCTCGCACCTGTAACTCAAAGCTCATTTTAATCGAAATCCATAAATTAGAATGTCTGTTCGAGGTTGAAGGCCAGACGCTTGGGGCTAGCTTCACCTAACTTTGTACGCTGTTTCCTGTAGGGTACGTGCCCATCATGGTCGGGTCAGGGTTGGGACAAATGAAGCAAATGCCACTTGACACGGTACCAGTGGTAACCCCTGACGATTCTTTGAATATCATATCAACTGGACTCTTGATATTTTTTCTTTGTTTTCATAATATAAAACATTATGCATCGATGCCCACACATTAAAAATAAATTCTATTTCACTTATAAATTGTAGTACGTCTAGCATTTATTTATTTATTTAAATATATACAAGAAGGTACATTGGGTTTATGCGAGTAGTAGGATAGTACTAATAATTGGTGTACAACCGTATACAACTATTAACTACCCTGTATAACTGCTTGAGTCCTCCATATAATATTTTATACCAATTAGAAATACAATTTATCACAGCATGTCACTTTGTAGCAGCGTTTATCCCATCCCGGTGTACAATTGTTCACCACCACCATACACCCCGGTTACAACCCCTCACCATCATGCATCACCGGTGTACAACCTCTCACCACCCCACACCACGGGGTGCGAGGTGTACAACCCCGCACCAAGCTAGGGTCCACCAGGCAGCATCATAACACAGCATCACTCTCCGTAGGGAAGGCGGCATGCAGATCGCCGGCAGTGTGGCGGTGATCACAGGAGCAGCCCGGGGCCTGGGCCGAGGCTTCGCCGAGGTGCTCCTGGCCAGGGGAGCTAAGGTCAGTGCCCACCAGTTATTCACTCTTATATTTGGCTTAGCAACAGTGCTTGGGGCAAGGTTACAATTTGCCGTGTCTGCTATGCTCTCTTTTTTTCAGGATTCTGAAGTGGGTAGGGCAGTGTGGGATGTTTGGGCTGCAATCATGTTAAGGTAATGTTGGGGATGAGCTGAGGATTGGTTGCAGGGGCAGAAAAGTATTGTAATTTGGGTTTTGGATAAATGAGGAAGGGAGGGGTGGTTTGTGTTGGATATTTAGGTTTAGCTTGGGGGAGCTCTTTTAGGTAGGTTATGGTGGGTTCAAGGGTGTGCTGGGGGTAGAGCCCACAAGGTTCCTGTGAGCAAAGCAGAGAAAACATAAATGGAGGGCGGGAGAGAGAGGTTCAAGAACTGGACCACAACACTAAGTTAAGCAAACTACATTTGTGGTGACCTAGTTACACATTTTTTATTTTCTTATCATGTATTTCATACATATTCAGTGGGCTGCGGGTGGGTGGGTGGGGAGTCTACAGTTGAACTCAAACGAATGTGCCCAAAGTTGACACATTATTTGCATGTGACTGTCATCCCTAATTGTATTCAACTCCTCAAGCCGTAAGTGTTACGGAAACGTTACTAATGCTATTAATAGAGATGAGATGAGAGCACGAAAGAAGCCTGCTCTCTCGCACACCAATGTTTCCAAGTCATAATTTAGAAAATAAAAACACTGAAAATTTACTCTTTCCCGAATTAGTATCGGCCCCGATTGGTTAGGAGAATTAATTCTGCCTCGTATTATCAAGGTGTATTAAAAGCCTCGTATTGTCAAGGTGCATTAAAAACCTCGTATTATCAAAGTGCATTAAAAGCCTCGTATTGTCAAGGTGCATTAAAAACCTCGTATTATCAAAGTGCATTAAAAGCCTCGTATTGTCAAGGTGCATTAAAAGCCTCGTATTATCAAGGTGCATTAAAAGCCTCGTATTATCAAGGTGCATTAAAAGCCTCGTATTATCTAGGTGCATTAAAAGCCTCGTATTGTCAAGGTGCATTAAAAGCCTCGTATTATCTAGGTGCATTAAAAGCCTCGTATTATCTAGGTGCATTAAAAACCGTATATATTGAGTAAAAGATCCCAGTAAACTTGTCCTGTCTTTTAGTTAAGATTGGTCGATTGGTATGACAAAGGAGCCAACGGAGAAGATGGGTATTTACTTTTTGAGTTGATCTTCCCTTGCCGCGGCGTCGTGCCCAGACCCGTGGGGGCGGCGGCGCCCGCCTGGCTCCCATGGATAATCATTCTGGGGTTTCACTAAAAATGAAATGTAAGGATAGAGGGAAAAGGAAGGATAAGGAGAGCTGGAAAAAGCAATGAAGAAAATGAGGAACGGAAATAGAAGGTCAAAGATAAGGAGAAGCAAAGGTTTTAAGGAAATAAGCACTCGAAGACAATGATAAAGAGAAAGAGAGAGAGACAGTCAAGCTTAAGGAGTTTTATATAGAGTTCATTAAAGAGGAGAGAGAATAGGGAGGTGAAAGAGAAGACAGAGAATGGGAAGGATGAAGGACAATTGTACGAGGACAACAGGCTTGAGTACCCCACACAACTACCAGCATGTCTGGCAGTTGTGTTGCTCTCTCTCTGTGCTGGCCCAGTAAGTGTTGTCGTTTATGGTTGGTTGTGGAGTTTGTGTGGATTACGGACAACGTCAAGATGTTAACAATACAACAATAATATTGCTACACACACACACACACACTGAAAATGTTTTGTAACATGTAGACTTGACTGATTCTGGGTGTGCAACACGAGGAATGTCTATAACATGAACAACTGTAGACGTCTATACCACTAGGTTGACCCAAGAGCTGAGCGGAATATATAACACAGATATATTTAACACCACTCAACCTCGCATGACTTGAGGAAAGAAGAAACGGGAGACATGATCACTACAAAACATACAAGGTACTCGCCAAAGTAAACACGACAAGGGCAATAACAAGGGACCGTAGATGGACACAGCCATACCACCATACGGTTTTCATAAAGCAGCAGCCTACAGTACATCTAAAAGATCTGTTTCCGTTTGATTGCCTTTGTAATCTTGGTCTGTGAAACAAGGAGTAAAGCAGTAAGGAGAAGCTCCATGCATAGACTGAAAAAGTAGATATGATCAACAACAAGGAGTAAAGTGAGCAAATACACGAGTTGATTGAACCTGACGGCTCGCAAGCCTGCTCCCTGAGGCGTGCACAGCCATGCACGTCTCCACGTACCCAGACAAAAACAGGCACACAGTTACGGACAGCAACCAACAAACACGTACGCCATGACAATTAAGGTGTTAGATGTGACATGTGGATCATTGTAGGAATACTTCTTGTACATGGAGTGCTGGAGGACGGAGGGGGTGATGGGGAGGACGGACAGGGTGCTGGAAGGACGGCGGGGGTGCGCTGGAGGGACGGATGGGGTGATTGGGAGGACAGAGGGGATGGTGGGGAGGACGGAGAGAGATGCTGGGGAGGACGGAGAGAGATGCTGGGGGGAAGACGGAAGGGGTGCTGGGTGACGGAGGGAAGAGGGGCGGGCGGGCTAGGGAATACATTGAAGGTTGATGATTGATTAATGAGGATTAAGCCACCCAAGAGGTGGCACGAGCATGAATAGCCCGTAAGTGGTAAAACTTTTGTTCAGTAAATGTATACAATGTGCTGGGGTCGCATTTAATCGTCAGGCTGCTATCGCGGGGGAGGATACTGCTTGACGGTATTTATGAGAATGGCCAGCTGTTGGACACCTTTTTTGACCAGAAGAGTGGCAGTGATGATGGCTTCAGGGTGGTTACTGCTAGATTCCAGTCCCTGTGGTGTAGTGGTTAAAACGCTCGCCTGGTGTTTCGTGAGCCCTTTGTCCTGGGTTCGTATCCTGGCCGGGGAGGATTTACTGGGCGCAAATCCTTAACTGTAGCCTCTGTTTAACTCGACAGTAAAATGACTAACGACTTGGTTGTTAAACGATTTTTCGCGGGGTCGTATTCCAGGGACCAGGATTAAGGAGTTGCCCGAAACGCTATGCATACTATTGACTGAACAAGAATGTAAGAACTCTTGTATATATAAATAATATATAAGGTAAGGCCCCTGGGGTAAGAGTGCCTTGGGCTTTCTCAAGGATTTGGGTTCCAAGCTTATTGACGTCACCAGAGACCCAAGGGCTGCCAGTTTTTTGTTTCAGCGCCTCAGTGTGGCGGTCCAGAGGGGAAACGCCTGCTGCATACTCGGTTCCTGTCCAGAAGCGGAGGAGCTTCAAGAGATCCATGACCTTTAAGCACTCATTGTATCAACCAATGTATATCTTGTAACCTTCAAATATATAATAAAGCAAAAAAAAAAATACAAAAGGAAAGGGGTGGTAGGAGAAAAGCACAGAAATTGTATTGGAGGGCACCTAAACATTCCCTCTAATGCGTTATGTGTGGTTTCCTCCGAGGCTAAGGGTCCCCTTCTTCCAGCCAGAGGTGGTACTCCCTTCTCTTAAAAAAAATAAAAATAAAAAATAAAATAAATAAATAAATAAATAAAATTCAGGGACTTTTAAAACTCTTCTAAGGTCGTTGGTTGCTTCACATTCCAGGAGATAGTAAAGTAGTGACTTTTCTGTGATTGTTTGGTAGAAGATGCATTCTATCTATCGGGATTCACCAATCTCTCAGTTGCATCTGTAACCTAGAGTTTCCGTTGTTTTGGCCAAGTCCAGCCACCAAGGCCTGCCATACTGGGATTGGATCAAGGGAAATAATTATATTACTGATAATCGTAGCTGTTCTTCGTGATAGTCTTACTTGAAGAGAGGGCAACCTCATTTCCAGTCATAGAGTTTACATTGAAGGTGGGAAGGATGAGTTAATAAAGAGAAGAGAACGGAGCTGAGGGTTACAAGGTGCGCTGACGATGAAGGAGAAGTGAAGGCCAGAATTAATGAACATGGACAAAAGCAAATCACAAAATAACAAAACCAGGTGAGGGAGGACGGAGGACACAGTGAGGGTGAAAATAAAAGTAGAAACGTGGGAGGAGAAGAGGAGAAGGGGGATGAAGAGGGTCGACCGATATCAGGATGAAGACGCCGAATTGGCTTTTATTAAGTGGGTGAAGGAATGTGGTGGCTGCCAGGCATGAGTAACACACATATACTGCCAGTGTCTGGCTATACAACGGGCTGAATGCTACACTAACAGAACTGGCTGCACTAAAAGAGACACAGGAGTAATGTTCCCTAGCTCTAGGCCATTCAGTACTTTCTGTAAGATAAACATCAAGAACCTTATAAGGTAAATTATAGATAACCTGCTCCCTGCACAGAATAAACGGTTTAGAACCTCTTTGGTGTGGATGTTATCTCACACAAAAATAACTCCATCATAATTGCTAAATTATTTAAAAAATTAAACTGAATTAGGCCTATGTACCCCCATCTCTGCTACCAAAAAAAAAAAACCCCACATTGCACTAAACATTCAGCCTAATACATCAGAGACATGATGTCCAAACCACATCAGAAAATGAAGAAACGACGACGTTTCGGTCTGTCCTGGACAATTACCAACGGCCGGGAAGCACTATTGTAAAAAAAAAAAAATGATCTATTTAGATCTAACGCCAATGATCCCATATGGTCGTATATTTGTGGTATATGATCACCACAAAACATCTGTCAGTGTGACAGTAACTGTTAGGGGTCAGGTTGGGCTAACTGTAGCAGGTGACTGCAAGTGACGGGTCTCATTAACTAACTGATTACCTTTTCCTTTAAGACCAATCATTGCGCGAGATGGGAAGTTGTGCTAAGTATTAAAGTATTTACGATACTTTGATACTTGCATGTATCAAAGTATGGTAAATAATGCAAACGTGCATCCCAAGGGCCAGCAGACACGCTGCCAGCCGTCACTGTTGACCGACTTATGGTATGCTTTTCACGAAAAGGACGAGTCACGGATGTCAAGGAGT